TTTTAATACCTTTAACCATTCAAATAATTAAAAAACAATGTCCATTCAAGCTTATCTGAAGAAATCGCAACTAAATCTCAATCATATTCATACATACATTTGATGACTCTTTAGAAGATGGTACGCTAACCTTTAAAACTCAAAATACACTATAAAACAGATAAATAATTTTTTGTTCTATTGTAAAAGTAATGTAATGTCATCAAGAGTTAACTAAATGTAATAGTCATCAAATAATTTTTATATTAAAACACAAAAATATTTCAGAGATTTAAATTTAACTTAATTACGAATCGTAGTGACATTGTAAGTATCAGACTTACAAGTATAACTATAAATATAATTATATAGAAACAAAGTGGGTTTATAAACTAGACAAGTCAGATATTTTAAAAGTACTGCCTAATAGTGAAAGATTGCATAAATAAATAATACAAGGGAGTTGACCTGAATCTTGTTGTCGTCAATGTACCTTTTTCCAACTTCGAAAAAATGAGAAAAAAACCTAGAACTTTCAGTCAGCAAACAAATTTTCTTAGCGTCTTGGGACCCAAGTCATTGTTAGCAACTATATGTTTGAGGTTGTGTAAGACTTTGTTTATTTGGAAGCCAACATACACAAAAAAAGTGACATCAGTTGAAAGATTTAACGAAAAATCACTCTTTCTCACTCGAAAAATCAATCAATAGATATGACTTCAGGCTAAGCAGGCAATTAATAAAAAAAGTCCTCTCTCGACAAACAAAAATCAAAAGATGGAACAATGAGCGACAGTAATGAAACAGTATTAGGAGTATTTGAGAAAATTTCTTCGGAAATTCTATGTTCTCTTAGGCGTTCCCAGCGAGTATCGAATTAGATGGAATGATGAGCTGTATGAGCTATACCGTGGCATTGTCATAGTTAAACGCATATAAATTTAAAGGCTGGAAGAGCCTACCTCGACGCGATCGAAGATCAGTTACGGCTGTAATGAGCAACTAAGTAGTTAAATAAGTTCTTTTGTAAACAAACAGTTTGAAAACAAGAAAAATATGTGCAAAAACAATACTATTATTGAGATTTGCAGTTAATAAAGATTACAGGTGCCTAATGAATAGGCTATGATGTGTTACAGGCTTTTCACAGAGCAAAACTTAATATAGCTATACTAAAATACCTTAAGTTGGCATTTAGGTATGATTTTTGATGAAAAGTCTTTATTCACTAAAAGAAATTTAGTGATTTCAATATTATGAAAAGAACATCGTACAAAAGTGTTACTAAAAGTGATATTAGTAAATACAAATCATTATGTTTCCAGAGCTACTAAAGTGGATATATGGGATGATATTATACTCAAATTGTGAAACGGGGTTAAAAGTATTGTGTACAGAAGTACAGATTTCCGATTCAATAACCTTTCTGAAAACTAAAATTAATGATTTAAACCTCCTAACTTTTCTGAATAATGAACATTAACATATCAATTAATTATACTAATCCTTCAGCATTTCTTTGAAAATTATTCATACAACTTAAATCAATTCTTTTAATATGTTAAGTTAACTACTTGAATACTTTAATCCATAGTGAAGACATTGTATCTCAGCTCAGCATATGTTAATTTCTTTCTTAATATTGCTTAAATATTTATCATAAATTTTTTTTTAATTCTTTTATTGTGAAGATTTTTTATTCTTTTAATTCATCTTGTTTTCGCAAAGTTTTGATAGAATTATGACACCTGTCGATTTTAAATTTATTTATTGATAAATTTATTACAATTTTTTGTGAATAAATGTTGGAGACACTACAAAAGCAGTCAGTTCTTTCGGTATAATGACATAATAAAATTCCATAAATTCGTACTGCTGGCATAAGCCATAATCGTAAACTAAGATGAAAAGATAAGTCAAGTCGAGAGCTCGACATTAGCAGGTTTGTGTATCACAGCATCTTGTAAGTGCTCATAAAAATTTAAATGACAAAACCCTAATAACAACTGTTTTGTATACTTTTTCATAGAAAAGGAACGCTTTTAAAATTCTATAAATGCATTTTGAGAAATAACAACAACAACAATAACATATAGTAGATTTTGAGTATGTGATTCTGTATGGCCATGTAGAGCGGTTGGTAGGTATGAAGAAAATTTCCCACGTTACTACGACTCAGCCTAAATTTAATTTATTCATAGAAATCGTAGCTTGTATCGAACATCATCGAAAATTTGGACAAATAATCGTAAAAAAAAAACAACAAATGTACTCAAGTTACATTCTACGGATGTGTAGTAAATCGACAGTAAACCGCAAAGAATATATTAGATAAATTGAAAAAGTTGCAACGACTATTGTAGAAGCGCTACAAAATATGTTTCATTATAATTTAAAAAAAAAAAAAATTAATACTTTACTAATTTAATTTAATAAAATGGGTGCCTAATATTTGGAAATAATAACAGAACACTGAAGAGTATTTTCTGATCAGATAGATCCGGAACCTGGACCTGTGGGCATATGGGAAAGGCTAAGACAACAAAAAAAATGCAAGGTACGAGTTCTAAGTCTAGCACTTGCAGTCCAAACAAATTATATATATATATATAAACTAATTATAAAATTCGAATAATTCCTAAGGCCACTGATGATGCCTAGTTTGCAATACTCGAATATATATAGCTGGTTGTATGGCCAGCAAAATTTCAATATATTAACTAAATTTTTGTTGTTGTCTTTTCATTTCTAATCGAAACCTTCGGTATTTTTCTTATTTATTAAATACTGGAGCTATTCAAATGACTTTCTGGAGCTATTCAAATGACTTATACCGACATTGTAAACAATGTGATCTAAAACACTCATGTCAAGTTTTTTTTTTGACCATGCAAAAAGCTATACTTTATCAGAAGAGGACTATCTCTTTAATTATCCTAATACTTTTATCTTGAAAATAAATCAGTTTTACCAAAAACTGATTTTTACCAATTTATAAAAAAATTTTTATAAATTATCCTGTTTACTTTCCTATGCATTTAATATTAATATTTGATCACCTTTGTAGAAGGTTTTTGAAAAAGCATTTAAAAAGCGACTATCAAATCTTATACAAAAACAAAACCTAATTCCAAATCATCAATACGGCTTTAGAACCAGCCACTCAACAATTGAACAAGTCCATCGAATTAGTAATATAACAGAAAATTGTTTGGAAAAGAAGGAAGTGTGTTCGGCAGTGTTCCTTGATATCTCGCAGGCATTTGACAAGGTGTGGCATCAAGGTCTTATTACGAATGCAAATTACGAATGCAATTGCCAGAACAATACTGCAATCTTATGGAATCTTATATAAGAAATAGATATTTTCAAGTTAAACAAGAAGACTGCTACTCAAATCCAAAAGAAATTAAAGCGGCTGTTCCACAGGGAAGCGTCCTTGGTTCTATAGTCTTTCTTTTGTTTACGAATAATATCCAAATAATAGAAAATTGTAAAATTGCGAAGTTTGCTGATGATACAGCTCTATTTTCAATTGGTTCTAATGAAATGGAATCAACTAAAACTCTCCAGCTAGCGATTAATAATGTTCATCAGTGGACGAAACAATGGCGACTCAAGCTTAACAATACAAAATCAGTATATGTTGACTTTACAAATAAAAGGGTCTCCCTCTGCAAATTAAATATAAATGGACTGGAAACACCCTATGCGAATACAGCAAAATAATCGGTAGGCATTCAGTGTTATTGATAGAAAATAAACTCCTGAACCTATATGGACTTACGGTATACAGTTATGGGGATGCACCAGTAGGAGCAATGTTATGATAATACAGTGTTTCCAAAATAAAGTACTTAGAAATATTATAAATGCGCCCTGGTACATTCGTAGTGCCGACCTATATCGTGGCCTAACAATCAAACCCGTCGAGGACGTCATAAAAACGTTTGCTGTTTTTCACGCAACGAAAATCACACAACATAAAAATGTAGAAGTTTCACAAATAGTCAACGCAACTGACTTAGCACGGAGATTAAAACGTAAAAAACCCTCTGACTTTACTAAGTAATAAAATCTTAGTGTAAATATTTATAATTTATTAAACTAAAAATGCTAACAAGACTAACAATCTTAAGTATATCTACTAACATAGTTGCATTAATAAAAAATTTGATAACCAACGACAGTCGGATTAAGACTTTCGGGCTGTTATGAGCAACTATTTCCGTTGAACTACCTGCCCATATATATGGGGTTTTGAGTTTTAAACCTTTATAAACTTGACTGATATGACTATATATCTAAATTTTGCCTTTCAGGTGAAAATCTACAACTCTAAACCCCGCTGTCTCTAGAAATAACACTTTTAATGTATCAAGAAAATCATAATAATTTTTTAAATAAATATATTTTAAAAATTATTATTTATATTAATTTTTTTTTTGTTTTTTTTAAATTTATTTTATTTTAATTTATTTTTTTAAATTTATTATCAATATTAAAACATATGCTTATTTTCTATTTACTTTAACTCTACTATAGAAGTATTTTCCCTTCTACTTTCCAAACAAATCGAGTCTCAAAGTGTAGCTCAACGTTTTGAAGAAAATACAGTGGAAAATGCACGCATATTTAGGGTCATTTAATGGTCATTTGAGGTGATTTCTTTTGCTTACTACAAAAAGTATAAAAATAGAAAACAATAAAATAAACTATTGTGTATCTGTCGGAATACTCATATATAGACAGAGAATATCTTACAACGATACTTAATTTGATGCTAAACTTTTTATTAGCGTGTTTTTTGTTCATCGTACAATTCTATTTTTTTATCTTTTGTTAGTTGTAAA